AGAGGATATTGAGAGCGAGTACAGTGAGGACGAAGAAGATAATCAGGATACAAATAAAAAGGGACGTGCCAATGGCAAAGTTCGTGAAAAAGGCAGCTCGGAAAGTTCCGGCTCAGATGAGGAGTGAAAAATCCTTGCTATAGTTTGATTGCAGTGGTACCCCTTTATAGGTTTTTAATGCTACAAAAGATAATGTTTTGAGCCTAGATGTGTTGCAACATTTCAGACTTCGATTATAATTGCTAGAATTTTATTTATGAACTTCTTATAAATTTGACTCCAAAGGATAAAAATAATAATTATACCATGCAAAAATTTCTTGCCTATGCTTATTGCGGATCGGTTGATGTTAAGTTTTTTTTTTCCCCCTATATATTAATTGTGGATCATTATTTATGAGAGGTTGGAAAAATCAGCACTGGTTAATTGCTGATTCCCTTGGCCTTGTAGGCATAGCAGAGTCTTAAACTTGGTATCTTCAGACTTCCAATTGTCGTTGGTCGAAATGAGAAAAAGACCTCAATAATTAAAGAAAAAGTGAGGAAACGAGTTTAGGGGTGGCGTCGTGGACTCTTTTCAGCTGCTGGTCGGGAGGCTCTCAGAAAAGACATTTTCTACTTCAGCTACTTTCATTTTAGCATTATTTTACAACACTTTCCAAGTTTTCTTTATTTAACATAGACGTTAAAATGACTTCAACAAAAATAGGCGGAAAAAAATATATAATAGAATAATGTAGATGTTCTAATATGGCATTGCAACCAGAAGCAATTACAAAGCCACTATGTTACTAAACAAAACTTAATAGTCCCATTACCGGGCAAACTAGTCAAATCCTTCTGAGGGTGGATGCTAGTTCTGCATCAGAACAGCGGGATTATGATAAAACCATCCGCTAATCAATAGCATGAGTTTAGCGTAATTAGGCCCCTTCTGACTCCCAAGGAGATTGTTTGAAGAATACCAGGCACTGGTACACGGCGTGTAGCAGATTGCAGAGTGGACAAATGAGAATGAGGCAACTCTCTTATCTTAGGAAAGTTAAGTTTGTTGAAGGTAGGTTAGTTCAGCCTGGGATGCAGTCCTTTCAACAGCCGTCCACCACTCCTCGTCCTCTTCTTCACAAGTTTCATCCTATTTGACACAGGAAATGGCAGTCACGTTGTATAAATTACAAGACAACAGAGAAGTTTCTTCAATATGTGCTAGAGGAGTTCTTCACTGAGAACTCTTCTTCAACGTAGCCTGAACAAATTCGATTCTTAATCTATCAAATTCAGAAGAATCTAACCCATCAAATGGGAAACAGGCATTGGTCGTAATTAAAAAGTTAAATCTTTCATTTCCTACGGTCAGTGGGAGCCAACGACCAAAAATGGTTAAGGGAAAAAAGGGGCATGTTGAACTTGAGATATTGATTGGACAGACTTTTACAAATGCTTCTTACGAGTAGAAAATAGAAGCTGAAGCGCGACAGAAATGTTAAACTAACCACCCCAGTTAACTCCAGTGCCTTCTGTATACATTCAACCTGGTCAGCAAATTCAATGGCTTCAAGCCACCACTTTTCTTTCTTGCAGCTTCCAGGTACACTTTCATCACCTGCTAGATAGACATGTCCCTGGTTGTCACAGCCTCCAGGAAGATTGAAGTAAAAGGCAGAATCAGGAAGAACATCATCAGGAATTGGACGAATAGGTGATCGATAGCCTGGTAATTAAATCAGCCCACCAGCCCAGTAAAAGTTATTTTGTAGCATATTGAAATGTTGATAAATATACAAATACAGGTAAAAGCTGTACCTCTGCAATCAGGATCATGACACTTCTGATAATAAGCAGCCCTTCTTAGATCGACCACATATATAACTGAACCAAACATTAATATAATAAATGTTAATATCCAGCAGTTTACTTTAATTGCATGTTTGGCAAAGTAGCTTAGACAGTACTTGACAATATTAAATTAGAAAAAGGAGCTAAAATGTGTGTCTAGTACTATCCATTACGATCTAATACTAATACTCCATATTAAAGATGCACTAAAAGATTTAAGCAGTTGATTTCTCAAAGTCAACAAACGATGGAAAAACCGTGCAAGTAATATAGTAGATGTTAAAGATCCCCACATAAACAAAGAACCCATCACTAGAATCACAGAAAATAAGTCAAAAACTAAAATATCAAGGATGATAATTGGCAATTTCGCACAATAGAATCTGTAAAAGAAAAGATTTACCGTGATTGCTTTTATGTTGTCTGCCAATTCGTTCACAGTATCTATTTTTAGACATGCTATAAACCATCAATCCATATTCTGAGAACCAGTACCAGCTCCGAATTTTTCCTGCCAGCAAAGCAACAGGGAATGAAAGAAGAAACTATAGGTTCTTAAAAAATTTCAGACATGCTGTCAGAAAATTTGAGCATAAAATATTTTACCCATATTTATTTAGAGGAAGGGGTGGGAGATCTTTAATTTTATTTTAGTAATACATTGTCTTTCAGTCATAATCACTCCAAAGACTATCAGAATATAAATTTCAGTAATGGTGGGGTAAAAATGATAATTTTTAAGGTGTATTATTTATGCAAAAGCAAAATTCTGGTTTATAATGCATCAAAGCAGCATAGAGGCTAAACAGTAAAATAAAGATATAAACTATTAAAAGAAACTAAAATTATTGTTTCGATAAAATCATTAAAAAGATCCTCAATACGAGGCTGAGCATACTGCTACCAAGTATGATCTCGCCTAAGCAAAGTGGCTTTGTCAAGGGGACATTGATAGGTGACAATGCACCGTTGGCTCAACAAATGTCAAGCATCCAGGATAAAAATGCTTGAGGGGGTTGATAGTGAATGGATAAATAAAATTAGAAGATGTGTAGGCAACAGTTGGTTTTCAGTTATAGTAAATGGAGAACAAACAGGATTCTTTAAGTCTCTTTATGTCGGGAAGAGGTCTAAGGCAGAGAGACCCAATCTCCCCTGCTATACTCGTAATTCTGGCTGAATGCTTATCAAGGGGTTTAAAGAAATTGTTTGAAAGGGAACCTGCTCTTAGGTATCTGTATGAGGAGAAAACTGTGGTATCACGTCTTTGCTTTGCAGATGATATCCTCGTATACAACAATGAGCAAAAGAAAATTCTTAGGTCAGTCCTAAAAATTTATACAAAGATATAGGGAAGGCTCCAGACACCCAGTGAACTAGGACTTCATAATGTCCAAAATAGCCACTAGGCAGACAACTAGGAAGGTGCAGATGGTGACTGGATTTATAAACAAGCAACTACCAATAAAATACCTTTTGAGTGCCTTCATTTACAAGTTACAAGAAGACTCACCTCTACAAGAATTAAGCAAGAGGATAAGAGACAGATTAGCACGATGGTCGATGGGAACAAAATAATTTTTCCCCAGGATTGAGAATTGTGTTCCTAAAGAGGGTGTTGACATCTATGCCTTTGCACCCCTTGCAAGAGCTAGATCCATGTATGTTTTAAGTTTCCCATTCCATTTGTGTGATTGTGATGTTAATAACTTATAGGATACAGTATGTATTGTATAATTAAGCGTCAAAGTATTAGTCCACAACTGTGAAATACATGCGTTACTGTAGTGTAATCACAAGGCCTGTTAACCATTTGTATGTGTGTACATGAACATAGCATTATACATAACCTCAATCATTGTGCATAACATAGACATTATTGGAAAGTAGGTTTTCATACATCATGCATATGTGTGTTTGAGAAACATGGGTTCTTTGCATGCATGTTTAGGAAGTAGGAAATCATACACGTGTGCTTATGCAAAACTGTCACGTGTCTTGGAATGGACTATGGGATAAACACTGGCAATTAGCAAGGTGAGTTAGACTAAACATAGTATTGCATTAAGTCTCCAATTGCTTGGATATGCCTAAAGATTGTAAGGGATTTAGTACTCCCTTGTTTATTTCATGCTCGTTCTATTTTATTAGTAAACAAGGAAGTAAGAAAAAATGGTTCAATGTCATATTAATAAATAGGTATGGATCGTGCCAATCTCTCACTTGCTATTGGGTAGGAGCCTAAAAACTCCTACACCAGCATATGTGGCTTTCCAACAAACTCTATTTATCTATGCTTGGGAAAAAAAAAGAAATGTTTGAACACAGTAATACCTGATACATTTCCTACGGAGGCAACAACAGTCTCTACAAATACATCCAGAGCCGGGAATGGTGATTTTCCCATCAAGTAACTTTTGGAATCATCACTTGTATAAGCATTCAAGTGAAAGTCTCGAGGAAAACAAGAACGTTTAGAGGAACTACTCGTGACCTGCAAGAAATTGTATTGGAAGATTGATGATGGTAAGACACAATATGTTGAGGACTAGAAGAGAGTATGTATGTCTGTCCACGTGCATAAAGAAATGCAAACGAGATAGGGGGAAAAAAAAAAGGTAGTCAAAAATCAAAAGATATAGGTCTGCGGAGAGGCGAAGTTACCTCTGTATCAAAGTGCAGCGCCTTCACGCAGTCTAAATCCATTTTGCATATTAGAAGCTTCTCACAATCAGCATCCATGTTGCAGATTAAGGATTCCATAAACGCTTCTCCTTCACTCTGTCACACATATTAGAGGTTATTTCATTTAATACAAGCGAGTATCACTGTAATAGTGCTATACATGTGAATTGTGAAGTACTGAGGGGATTGCATCTATGTCTGGGAATCGTCTTTTCCAAGTCATTATGTTTCTAATTCTCATCATTTATCAATATACCCAATCAGGATAGGGCACATGATTTAAGTTCTCAGCTATAACGTGTTTTTTCTTTAAGCCAAAACATTGATCTAATACATCAGTGGCACAGGTCATTCAATGAAATGTTTTTTCTTCAAGCCGAAGAACCGCTGCCACCACCAACCCATAAAAGGAAAAAGAAAAAGAAAAACATAATTATACCAAAAGGAAAGAGCGAGCGCAAAATGTCGAGGAATGCATACTAAATAAACGTGATGAAAAGTGGCTTCGGACCTATTATCATCAATACTAATTATTAAAGATATGTATAAACTCTCAGACCCAATTGGAAACCACAGTGAGTAGCTCTTTCACTGGTGTACTGCTATTATAAAAGATGAGCAATGCTATATAGCATCAGTGGTGCTAAGAACCAGTCTAAGTGCTGGTCCGCTGCTTCATTGTGCGATGGAGTTGGGATGCATTTTGAATCATTGGACAATGAAACGGTCCGCACCACTGGAGCTACATAGCCTTATTCATTAAAGATGTACCACCTGTCATTGATAAGATCCAACTCTATGTATGTGCTGTCTAAATATATCAAGAGGTTAGTATAGAGAAACTTGTATGGAACGTAGAATATTTCCACTTCGATTATGACAAGAAGCTAAGGAAGTCAATACATTTAAATGCTAAATAATTATATCATTGTTAGAAGCCATACCATATCCTTACATTTAAACCGCCCACTAGGTAAAAGAATAGAGCTTTTCCCCGCTTTTGATGATAGAGGTAGTCTAAAGCAACGATTCCTAGAATAGACGGCTGTATCCACGAAAAGCTGGCATTGGTTATCAGCAGAGCTTGAATCCTTCGAGATGAACAGATTTCTAAATCTTCCATCAGTTTCCTTATAAAGATAAGCCCTTGAACATATCTGACAATGAGGCAGGAAGAAGACGGCAATTACTTGGAGCTTGAGGGAAGAAAGTAATACTTATTGCAATGTCAAAAGAGATTTCATAATTGTAATGGATAGCAATGAATTACTGAAAGATATCCTAAGGGACACAGTTAAATTATTGCATAAATGAAGCACCAGCGATGACACTGCAATTATGTAGAGCAATGGTAAGATGCCACAATACAATTGCTGCAAGTGAAAATTACTCCTAATTTATGACACACCTCAGAAACAAATGCACCAGCATGTGAATTGTCTTTGAAGGCAGCCTTAGGTAAGCGGATGAGTAAATGACGAGAGAACTTTTCTGACAATAAAAACATAGGTAAAAAATGGATATAAATTAATAACTAACTTCACATGGATAAAGTTAAATTCATGTTTATAGAATCAGATCATCACTCTTATAACCATTTGTCTCTCACTCTTCCAAGTTCCAACAAAATAAAGCAATACGGAACACACGAAAATTTATCTGAAAAGGATTTGCAAATTATTAAGCATTTCATAAATAAATGCAATAGAAAGAAAAGATTTACAGTTAGTTTTCAAAGAAGTCCTGCAAGACATTCAGTAGTATTAATACCATCTGTTGATGAATCAAGTTCCACTACCCAATCCTTGTTTCCTGTGATGGAATACTTCTCAAGTAGCGCATCAAAGACAACATCTAGCAGGAGATCCACCATTTCATCTCCATTTTTGTCAGGATTTTCTCGCTTGTTGAACTCCAAATCAAAATAGAGGTGGCATGATAACCCCTGAAAGTCAGATATAATTATCGTAAGCAAGCAACAATTTTCAAACCCCCCTCCCTCACCCACCATCCCACCCAAAAAAAAAAAAAAAAAATCCAACAAACAAGGAAAGGGAAAAATCCACAAAATAAACATGAAGACCTTACCAAAAATCTTCAATAGAAGATCAAGAACAGCAAGAACAACTTAAAGCAAACAAATACACATATTTTAGCCAATGCCGCAGTTTTTCACTATGTTGAACAAGATTTTAACACTTTAAGTAGAAAATGCAAAGATTATTACCTCCTGAATAACTTCATAATGGTGACGAAATTTAGAATTCATATCTTTATACCTAAGAAGATCAAATATCAATAGCAAACAAGAAGTTATCAGCATGAGGAATGCATTAAGAAAAAATTCTGTTCAAACTAAAAAGACTGTTCAGAAACTTACCTTCTCCAAAATTCCTTGTACGTTGAAACAAGAAACCTTCTCTGGCCATTCATATGATCCTGATAACTAAAAACACGTGCATTTGAACGCTCTTTAGCGTACTTTATCGCTTCATCCTGCCTTGGAAAGGTAGCCCAAAATTCCTCTCTAAAACGAGCATAAAACAAAAACCAATAATTCACTAAGTTCACAATAACCATAACAGAATTAAAATCACAGAAGATTTAAACTACCTCAATTTAGTTTGTTCCGAGAGATCAACACGTATTTCGTGCAACAATCGCAACAATCGAGCAGGCCGATTTGGAGGCACGCCGTGAGGTGAACCATAAAACACCATCGGAGAGAACTGTTTGTCATTGCCCAGGATTTTACAATTTTTGGTCGTCGGAGTTTCAGAAAATGAAGACTTTTCTTGTTGTGGTGAAGATTCTTGATTCAATTTTCGTTTTTCTTTTTTCCTTTCTCTGATTGCAGATTCTGATACATCAAAAACAATCGATTAACTCAATTTCCAGATATATAACCACAATCAGGAAAAAAAGTGTCGAACTTTCTGCACATACGAGGAGGAGAGAGGCCGCATTTGAAGTACTGGAGCAGGCGATCTACATCGTCCATGTAGTTTTTGAATTTTCCGGCGAAGGGAGTGTCGTGCAATTTGCATACGCTACGGGGGGAATTGATTTAAAAGGAGGTCAAACTAAACATTAGTTTAACGAAAAATGCTGGTTGTACAGCATTGGCTCAGAGCAAATTTCACAACATTTCAAAATGGGCGACGTGGAATAGGCGGGAACGGATTTCACTCGAAAAATTCAGGTAAATGCGTGGGTCAATAGCAACCCGGCCCGTTTCAGTAATTCCCAAAAATCTTGAATTCCCACAGTCAAAAATCATATTTCCCCAATACAACACCCGCGAGCAAATTATTTCCCAGCAGATGGGTTCGTTCCGGTGAGAAGAGAGGAAAAAATTTCTTGATTTCTGGGTCCGACTTCGTAGAAATTCAGCTCCCGCGACTTGGCCATTGGGCCATTTCCGTTCAGCAAGCTTTCCCAGTTAGAATCCCCTCTCACTACGGCGCCGGTTGGAACACAAAAAACCATTCACAATACTGGGTCCACTTTCCTAAATTTGATTCATCGAATTGAACACAAAAAACCATTCTACCACGTGGCGAAATTTAATTCATCGACTTGGTTCCCTTTGACGACTACAATCCGGCCCCCAAATCTGTTTTACCCAAGCGACTCCCTCTGAGGACAACCCGAGTAGCATTCAACAAGAAATCTAGCTATCTCACCAAAGCCCAACTTTATCCATCTCCAAATCAACCAAGAATCAAGGAAATCTATGTACCTATCGAGATGACAGACGAAGGTAATCTCTTTCTTGGTTATAATGTATACTTGATGCATCACTGTATTTTGCAACATGTGAATACGTAGAAGGGTTTAAGAAATGAGAAAGCTGTTTCGATTAGCTGAACTACATGTGACATTGCAGACAGTTATATGGCTGTAATGATGTTTTTGAATATGTTAGGTTGTGATGTTTTGTTCTCTATGAAGTGGATTTTTTCATGCTTATATTACTTGAAGGTGGTTGTTAATCAAAAGTTGAAATGACATTTATGGTAAAATTGGAAATATTAAGTTTAATATTACTTCGTTATGAACTGAATTGCTTTATTAGTTAGTGTTGGGTGACACCTTTTTTGTTGCAAAACTGTCATAGGAAAGTGGATACCATGTGGAGTTCAGTAAAAGTGGACCCAGTATTATGAATTGTATTTGTTTTATGAATAGAGAGGCTGATGTGAGTGAAAGTGGATACCATGTGGTGTTCAATAAAAGTTCAGTGGTTTCTTATATGTGAGCTATTTTTGGTTTTGTGGTGGTGGTGGGAGTTGTGAATTTTGTGGCCATCCTGCAAGCATAACATTTCTGTTCATTGAATGAGTGCTCAATGACCTTTTACTATTTCTATTGGAAATGTTTTAAGTAAGCATCTTTGAGCTCAATACTAGTTAAGAACTTTGATTTCAGTGTTTTATAAAAACCTTCTGGTATTGTATTCTGGAAAGAGTGAATGGTACCTATTTTTGGTATTGTAATTTCCTTCCTGTTTTTTTTTCTAATAACAACATATGGCTTCGTTGATTTCGATGCAGGACAAGAACTAACGGAAGTATTGGATGACGAAGTCTTTGTCGAATCCAAAGATGAGAACTTGATGGACAATGTAATCACATTGGAAGAGGATAATGTAGGAGGAAATGCTACGATTGTGCCGGAAGTGGGTATGAAATTCAACGACAAGCAAGAGTTGTTTGAATTTTACAAAAAATATGTGTACGAAGTAGGTTTTTCGGTTAGGAGAAGAAATTTCAAAAAGTACAATGGCGTAGTGACATATGTTATGCTAACATGTAGTCTTGAGGGACAACGACGCGACAAAAAATGCTCTTCTTTGAAGCCGCAGCCAACGATTCAGACAGGTTGCAAAGCGAGGATAACTGCTTCCTCAGATATTCGGGGAATATGGAGAATTTGCATGGTTGACCTCGAACATAATCATAAAACAAGTCCATCGAAATCTAGGTTGTATCGATGCAACCGAGAATTGAGTGCACATGTGAAACGAAAACTAGAAGTGAATGATATAGCAAGAATTCCTTTGCATAAGAGTTACAACTCTGCAGTAGTTGAAGTCGGTGGGTATGAGAATATGACTTGTATTGAAAAGGATTGTCGGAATTATGTGGAAAAAGTGAGGCGGTTAAGACTAGGTGAAGGGGATGCTGCTGCTATACAATCCTACTTTGTGAAGACGCAAGCACGTTCTTCTGGGTTTTATTTCTCTATGGATTTGGATGACGAGTCACGGCTTAAGAATCTTTTCTGGGCAGATAATAGGTCTAGGCAAGCATATAAAGAATTCGGTGATGTAGTGACGTTCGATACCACTTACCTGACCAATTAATATGACATGCCATTCGCTCCCTTTGTTGGAGTAAATCATCACGGACAGTCGATACTACTTGGATGTAGGTTGCTATCAAATGAGGATACAGATACATTTGTTTGGCTTTTCAAAACATGGATGTTGTGCATGCATGGTCAAACTCCTAATGGAATTATTACCGATCAAGATAGGGCTATGTAGAATGCAATTCAGATAGTGTTTCCAAATACGAGACATAGATGGTGTCTGTAGCACATATTGAAGAAGTTGCCCGAAAAATTTGGGTATCACGTGGACAAGAGCTCTATTTTTTCATGTATACATGGATTAGTGTACGACTCACAGTTTGTTGAAGAGTTTGAGAAAGGTTGGGAATTGATGATTGATACTTATATGACAATGAATGGCTGTCCGGTTTGTTTGAGAACAGAGGTCGATGGGTACCATGTTATTTGAAAACGACTTTCTGGGCCGGGATGTCAACTACTCAGCGTAGTGAGAGTGTAAATGCGTTCTTCGATGGATACGTGCATTCTAAGACATCATTGAAGCAGTTTGTAGAACAATATGAACGAGCACTGCGAAGTAAGATTGAGAAAGAATTCCATGCAGATTTCAAGTCGTTTTCGCAGATGGTGTCGTGTGCAACGAAATATGAAATGGAAAAGCAAATTCAGGCAGTTTATACCATAGCCAAATTTCGAGAATTTCAAGATGAGATAACTGGTAAAGTGTACTGTGATGTCTTAAGTGCATCAGACGGGTGTTCGGGGAGGATGTATGAGATTGAGGAGGATATCATTTACGAAGGCAAGGTGAGAAAGAAAAAATTCACGGTACTGTTTTATGCGGAGGACTGCGATATTGTTCGCAGTTGTCGTTTGTTTGAGTTCCGAGGAATTTTGTGTAGACATGCCATCTCGGTGTTAATGCTTAACGGCATCTCATCACTACCGGATCGGTACATATTACGGAGATGGAGGAAAGATATTTGTAGAGCTCACACGAGAGTTGTAGTGAACTATGACAGTTTAGTTAGCACTCCTAACCAGTTGAGGTATGACAAAATGTGTGAAGAGTTTGCTACTTTGGCAGATGTAGCCGCAAATAATGAGGACAGATGTCGTCTGATAGTAGATTGGATTCGGTTACAGTCGAAGGAGATAATGTCTACCAGGCAAACTTCTCAGAGCACTAGCATTTCTATCCCAAATCTGCATCTAGGATCCCAGTCAAAAGCATCGCAAGACATGGGCAATGGCACTTTACAGGATCCTATATGCGCGAAACGGAAGGGAGCACCAAAGAAACTGCGTAAGAAAGGCCCATTAGAGTCAAGTTCGAAGAAATCGAAGGTATTATTATTATTTTTTCCGCATTTTGCACCTTCATTTATGAGAACTGATACAAAATATAACACTTCACTTTGTACTACAGGCAGTTGCTTCTTCAAGTACAGGATGTAGACCGCGATCTAGGAATACTAATCCTGTACAAGATACACCTGTCGTTCAGATACCCCAGCAAGTAGAATATCCCGTATCCACTTCAGTTTCATATTCACAATTTAGTATGGTCAGTGAAAAATTTTATTTATTTTTTTGGTGTTGTGTGGTTTTTTTTTTTTGTTTTTTTTTTTTTTACGTTGAATGACCGCATTTTCTAATAATTCTTTCATTGCATGTAGGTTGACCGTTGGCCGAAGAGCCATGCAGTTACACAACCGTTGGTAGCTTCAAACTCCATTGCTCCGTTGTCATCAAATGTTGTATTCAATTACCCAAGTAAATTATATGGTGTCGTATCCAAACACATATTGCACATGTTTCTTTCCTACATATCGTTAACCCTATATTGTTTACAGTAGGTACTATAATTTCATTCCAACCACTAATGCCACCCTCTCAAAGTGCCATAGCAGGTTGGATGTACAATGCCACCCAGTCATCAGTAGGATCGATATTCAAGCCGACTACGGAACATCAATAGGTGGTTGTTATTAATGTTTTTTTTTTTTTGGCTTGGTTCAAGATGTAACGATTTCTGGTTGTAATGAATGATTTACATCAAGCTCTTTTCTCAGCTTTGTTCAAATTGGATGTTTGGGGGATGCCTTTGTATATTTTTGGTCGGTTTTTCATTAAGTAAGGCATAGTATGAGGCTAATGGACCTCTATTTTGGAGCTAGATTTTGTTTTGTCTTGCATAATTTCTGGTGGGTTTTTAGTACAAATGATGCTGATTTTGTAACTACAGAAATGTTGTACAGTTAGATGAAAATTTTGACCCCAGCCTCAAATTATACTCCATTGTCTAATTATTGAGTTATCATCCATCTTTATCTTTTCTGTGCTAGAGGAAATAAGCAATGGATCAAAGCAGGGTTTGAGTGAATGAATAAGAATTTGGTTCAGTCACTGGGATGGCTATGACTTCATGTTTATTACTTTAACTGGAGAAAGAGACCAACCTTTGAGCTAACTTGGGGGCTAATTTGGGTTAGTAAAAAACTGGCTAGGTTACTTACTTAAAGTATGGAGTCCAATGTGTTCAAGATCACAAGCTAAAGGACAACTTATATGGGGGACGTGGAAGAAGAAACCACTGGGAACACTATGAAATCAAAGGGACAAAACCTGTTGAAGTAATTGGAGGAGCTCAAGTGTGAGCAGCCAAGAATGGAAGGCGGACAGCTTGGCGTCGCATTTCATTAACCGGAAACAAAGTTTTGCTTTTCACACAAGTTACCAAGAATTATAGAATTCTATATGGCCGACAGTTTCTTGTGATCCTTGGTAGTTGTCTCCTTTTAAAAATAGTTTCTTTATTATTTTATCCTTTTAATTATATTTTAGGATTTTATTATACTACATAAACACATGCCCATTTCACAGTTTCACAGGAACAAATTGGAATAAAGAACTTGATTACATTGCCACAGCCATAATTTGACGTTACAACGTTCAGATAACATGACATTGCCGCATACCCTAAACTACTACAAACTCAAGCTTAACATACTACATTACCCTACATAAACACATGCCGTACTACATACTTATACAAACACTTAAGTTTCACATTCCGAAAACATCGGATTTCATGTGAAATCTTCCGAAACTCGTTTCCCCTTGCGCATATTTATATTCAACGAAATTTCCAAGTCTTTCTCATCCGTGAGCTTCACAAGTGATTTTAACATATGCGACAAATCGTCCACGTGCTCATCTTTGTTTGTACTACCACTTGAGTCTCCATCGTCATGAAATGTACATTTTTCACCGGGCTTATTTTTACACCATTTGAAGAACCCACAGTCGCGGGTACAACAATGAAACAATAGCCCTTTATGTTCACTGTTCTTTTCCACCTCCATCCACTTGACGAACCGTGCATCACAATCGGGGCATTTTTTCTTTTTGGGGCATTCCGACATCATATGTCCCAGCATTCTACAACCATGGCAAATTCCCCTATTCTTGCCCGCCATCGAAGTATCCTGGTTCAACCACATAACACAACCACATTATAATGGATGGAGACCAGCATTCTGAAGCAAGCCAAAAGCCACAAACAGTTCAGATCAGTTCTTGAAAATTGACAATTTAGTTCTGAATCAAATCAAATCAAGAATCTTGAATCAAACCAACATTACCTTACATAAACCAAAAGCCACAACCATTCTGAATCAAATTAAGCCAAGAAAATTGAAAATTTAGTTAAGTTCTTGCAACTTTGCTCTTCATGCTTCCATTTTTCTTTAATTTGTGCATGTATATACAATCTTATGCAGAAAATTTACATGAACTGAACTGAACTGTTTACATTAGTAAATCCCAGAAGCTGCTGTCTACATTAGTAATTCCCAGAAGCTACAAATACTACACATGAATCAAGCCAAAAGCCCACAAGCAATACATACAACAATTACGCAGAAGATAGAACGCAGCCCAAGGATTTTCCTATATACATCAGTAAATCCCAAACCAAAATCCACAAACCGTACATATGAAAATTACACGATAAAAAGTTATTGTCTATATCCCAAACATTCGTTCTTAATATCAACTACTAACATGGTTTGATTTTTAAACCCATAAAACAAGCAATAGATAATCTCATGCCCAGAATGCCGTAAGGGGAATCAATTTTTACACCCATAAAATACATTTATAAAAATAAAAATCACATATGTTGCCTTTTTTTTACTTACCTAACATGAAGAAGGTAGTTCACTGGTCATCTATTGCCGACGGCGGGGGTGTAAGGATGGTGTTACTGGTTATGTGGCGGCCGAACGTACTTCAGAGGTCGCCCCAAAAAATCGTTGCAGCTGGAGGGTAATGCTCTTAACGGGAAATCGGGCAGAGATCTCGACGAGCATTGCGGTGTTTTTTCGGTCGGAAGTACGGTTGACAATCGCCTGGAGATTTGGAGAGTGAGTCTTCGCAGCGGCGGCAATGGAGAGACTTCGAGGGTTAGGTTAGAGCCGGGTCTTTGAATAATACAAGAATGACCCATTTTTGGCTTATTTCAAATATGAGTTCTATTTTTTTATTTTTTTTTTCCACGTCAGCAATCTGTGAACCATGCTGTGTCTTGTGCTGTACCCGTAGCAGAATTGTAGTTTAAAACGACCAACAACTATGTTTCTAATCTAACTTCTAATAAAAAGGGAAATGAGGTATACCTCCATTGTTGTAATAGGAAATTAGTCCAATTTTATTATGCATAATCTCATTTTTTATTTTTCATTTTGTTTATATCAAACAAATATCTTCCACACATCATGTCACTAGCATTAAAAAAATAATTATGTCAAACAAATGTTCTTCCACACATCATGTCACTAACATTAAAAAAATAATAATAATTTTAGTAAATATAAACTGTCATGAAAAAAAATTCTTCGTACACGAGTTTTGAAAAAGAAAAAACTCTTCACACTGTGCGAAGAGATGTCAAACCATATGCAGAGTAAAAAAGAAGAAAAAACTCTCCGTACAGTGCGAAGTAAAAAAAATCTCTCCACATAGTGACTGTCACGTGCATTGCACAAATTTTGCATTTATTGTATTTTTATTAGTACGCGAATTTTAGCTTTTTGAAAAGTTTTTAAAGTAATATCTAGAAGTATTTTCATGATATAAGAAAATATTGCAAATTATTTTTATAATTGCATAACAGTATTGTGTCATCTAGAAAAGATATACTTGTATATTTCATATTTGAATAAGAAATATACGAGATTATACAAATTATTTTGCTTGTATTATTTGATAGTGTTGATATGATTGAGTTGAATGTAAAATTTATATTTCTAAATTTTGTGTAATTCAATATTGGAAAATTGAAGATTGAGCACCATATTCATATGTATTTATATTTTGTGCTTCATATATATTTAATATTTATTTTATGCTTATATTGAAAAAATAAAAATCTGAATTTTTTTTTTGAAATTCGGTTTGGTAAGTGAATGTACGGTGTTCTGCATTCTTGGTATTTGTAATGCAAAAATCGGTATATAAAAATACAGTAAGCTACAAATACGATAAGCAGCATATATGGTAAGTTGCAAATACGGTAGGCAGTATATACGATAAGCTGTAAATACGGTAAGTTCTTTGCAAATACGATGGGCTGCAAATACGGTAAGTTACAAATACGGTAGGCAGCATATACGGTAAGATGCAAATACGGTAAGGTACAAATACGGTAAGTTGTAAAATACGGTAAATAGCATATACGGTAAATTGTCTGCAAATACGATAAGCTGCATTTATAAATTTATAATTTGTTATAAATGTATAAAATTTATTTAATATTGAATTTCTTAAGTACTAACTGTTGTAATTCAATATTGTTTCCTTTTTTATAACTGTATTTTCGAGAAAAAAAAAGAAAAAAATTGTGGTTATGAAATTGCTAATCTTTAAATATGTTTTTTGTTGAAGATAAAAATGATTTTTTTATGTTATTTGTAAAAAAAAAAAATTATTTTAATTTTATTAGATTAATAAGAAGATTTATTATGCATTTTTATTTTTTACATTTTGTGAAAAATTTTGTTTATGGTGATTGACAAATATACTTCCACACACGCATCATGCCAAAAATATTAAAAAAATAATAATAATTTTAGTATATATAAACTCTATAGTTGGTTTGTCATCTCTTCGCACTGTGCAAAGAGTTTTTTTCCACATGGTTCAACTCTCTCCATACTGTGCAGAGATTTTTTTAATCTCTTCGCACCTTTTTTTATTTTTACTCCGTACTTTGTTCAAATCCCTCCACACTGTGCGAAGAGTTTTTTTTTCAATTTTATAATATTGAATTACACAAAATTTAGAAATATAATCTTCACATTCAATTCAATCATATCAACAATATCAAAGAATACAAGCAAAATAGTTTGTATATTTCTTATTCAAGCATGAAATCTACAAACATATTTTTTCTAGATAACATACTGATATGCAGTTGTAAAAATAATTTGCAATTATTTTCTTATATTATGGAAATATTTTTAGATATTGCTTCAAAATTTTTTTCAAAAAATTAAAATTCATACACTAATAAAAATACGATAAATAGAAAATTCGTGCAACGCATGTGATAGCGACTAATCTTAGTTAAAAGGCCTAAAGTTATAAAATATGGAAAATATAATTTGTAAATGACTAAAATGACCTTGTATACAAAATGTCATTATTGCACTTATACTCATTTCATTTTCCATTGAACCCTACTTGAAATCTCCTTTTATCCTTTCAATTTCCATTTAGCTCTAATTCAATTTTGACTTCCATTCCTTCCACAAGTCGATCTCTCTGTGCAAATATTCTCATTTCCTTCTCTTCATCTTCTTTTCGTTCATGGAACCCCAAAATTCACATGTTATTCCCTTGAAAACTCATTTGGTTGAGTGAGTAATCAAAACTTGCAACATCTTTATATATATATATATGTATATATAAATCTCCTTTTATCCTTTCAATTTCCATTTAGCTCTAATTCAATTTTGACTTCCATTCCTTCCACAAGTCGATCTCTCTGTGCAAATATTCTCATTTCCTTCTCTTCATCTTCTTTTTGTTCATGGAACCCCAAAATTCACATGTTATTCCCTTGAAAACTCATTTGGTTGAGTGAGTAATCAAAACTTGCAACATCTTTATATATATATATATATATATTTAATTATTGCCTCATTTTTGTTTGGAATTCGATGGGCAAATCCTAGCGACCATCAGCGTGGCATTTGAACCAAGTGTTATTGAGAAATATCTCATAATAGCATCACATATATATTGGGTTATTCCTTTTAATGGGAATTTATGTCCCCAATTTTCTGTCAATGAAGAACAGTTTTGTTGTGATATTAAGGGAGATGCAATCTATACTGGAAGTTCCTGTGGGTGAATAATTATGCTATCCCTTTTGGAGCAATTAAAAACTTATTAACTGTACAATCTGTGTTCTTAATTGTTTTTGTTTTGATAAGATCAAGACTCACTCTGTCAGAACATATAGCACTTAGGAATTTTGATGTGGATGCTTCCTATGTGATGTTGGAAGTTTGTGCAGGCCAATGTTGTGACATATTTGACATAGAAAGCTTGTTATTTAATTATTGATGTTATATTGATAAAAAATATTAAAATATTAAAAAAATTGAAATTTGTATGTAAAATTTTCATAGTACGTGTTATAATAATAATTATTAATACTAATTGAGTATTCACCTTCTACAATTAAATGCCCGACCCAAGTTTGAAAGGATGAGTAATCCTTAAATGGATTGAGTGTGCACGTCCGATCTTAAGATGCACCCTCTTTCATTCATGAATTTACTCGAGCAATTCTTGAACAGTTGATAAATATGAAGTTTACTTTAACATAAAACCAATATCTAGTAATACTCCTTTAGCCATTAGCTTTGCCACTTAAAACCAAATAAAAAGAGACGGAGAAATCAAATTTATTTGGTACGTGCTTTCACGTTACCCTTCATTTTCTTTTCGAGTTATATATCATACCCTTAAAGGAATGTATCATATTCAATACACATCAACGGCTAACTACTTAACTCGTCAAATTTGTACTAAAACGATATGAATGTCGTTACTTTATTTGTAATCTTGATACATAACGACATCATTATCGTTTCAATACAAGTTTAACGATTGTGATATCGTTTTAACTTAAATTATAACTAAAACTACATATATATTGTTTCAGTTAAAATAAAACGAAAATTATATCGTTTCTGTTAAAAATAACGATTCGACCGTCCACGACAATTAGACATCCGTCTAACATATGTAGGATGATCAAAATAGGTAATCAAGTGGGTTCGATACTGCTCAAAAGAAACTATGAGAACATTTTTGTTCTTATGATTGTATACCACTTTCGAACTATTCCGACAAAAAGTATCTTTGCTCGCTCTTTTTAAGTCATTCGAATGGTATCTACTCACTTGATGACATCTTTCCATCGTCCTATATATGTTGAAGGCATGACGGGTGGTTGTAGAAGGTCGAATCGTTATTTTTAGCTAAAACGATATAATTATCGTTTTATAAGAAAAGAAATGATATATATGTCGTTATACTTAGTTTTTGAATTGAAACGATTTCAAACTCATCAAATTTGCACTAAAATGATATGAATACATAACGACATCATTATCGTTTCAATACAAATTTGATGACATTGATATTGTTTTATCTTAAACCATAACTAAAATTACATACATATCGTTTCAATTAAAATAAAACAACAATTATATCGTTTCTGCTAAAAATAACGATTTGACCATCCACGATCATCAGACATGCATTTTAACATATGTAGGATGATCAAAATAAGTAATTAAGTGGGTTCGATCTTACTCAAAAGAAACTATAAGAACATTTTTGTTCTCATGATTATATACCACCTTCGAATTATTTCGACAGAAAATATCTTCATTTGCTTTTTTTAAGTCATTCGAGTGGTATTTATCCATTCGATGATCTCTTTCGATCATCATACGTATGTTGAAGGCATGACGGGTGGTTGTGGATAGTTGAATTGTTACTTTTAGCTAGAATGACATAATTATCGTTTTATATAAAAAGAAATGATATTTATGTCGTTATATTTGTGATTTGAATTGAAACGATTTCAAACTCGTCAAATTTGTACTAAAACGGTATGAATGTCTTTACTTTATTCGTGATTTTGATACATAATGACATCATTATTGTTTCAATATAAATTTGACGACGTTGATATCATTTTATCTCGAATCACAACTAAAACTACATACATATCGTTTTAGTTAAAATAAAACGACAATTATATCGTTTTAGCAAAAAAAAAAAAATACGATTTGACCGTCCACGACCACCAGACATGTATCTGACATATGTAAGATAATCAAAATAGGCAATCAAGTAGGTTCCATCTCATTCAAAAGAAACTATGGGAACATTTGTGTTCCCATGATTGCATACCACTTTCGAA